TGTAGGCTCTTTCTATAACTCTGTGCTTTTCTTTCTAGGTTCTCCCCAGAATTGCTCTCAACAGTCATTTACAGGCAATAATCTTTTTCTAGTATGTACCTCAAAACTCCCTGTTACCTAGTTCCAAAGCCACTTTCACATTTGTAGGTATTTCAGGGAGCTCTCTGGGACCTCATTTATAAGGGTACTAATTCCATTTACAAAGTCTTCACTCTAATGACCTAATTGCCTTCCAAAAGCTCCATCTCCTAATGCCATCATATTGGAGATTAGATATTAACATGAGAATTTTGGGGGAACACAAATATTCAGTCTATAGGACCATGTAAAGCATATTATAGATCTGAGAGTTAAGACAGGATATGGACATCCTTTTTGGCAGTCACTATTCAGCCCACTATAATTGTATTTTCAAAATTCTAAAAGTATAGTATTAGGGGAACTCTTTAGTATGGGATATCAGTGTCTAATTTTTCATAAATAATTCTGTGCTAGTTCATATTGTTTTACCTAATTTTCCCATTATAAAAACAATTTTAGTTAGTTTGACCCTTATTACAATTAACATTTTCAGAGTCCTTTTAATACAGCTATAATTTACATCTAAAAATAGGTTTTGTGTTACTGACATTTTGTGGGCCATGCACTATTGACACCTCTCTTGTCTAATTGTCAAAGTGAATCAGTCAGTAGGGTTTGAAAGATGGACCACTTTAAAAAAAAAAACAACTTTCCAGGACTAGATTCCAATTTCAATTCAGTTATGTAAAAGAAAATATTTGGTTCAGCTTAATTCCTGTTATAAAGTTGGATGAGTTGTCACCTAAACTTAAACATTGTACATTAATTTGGCATTCCTATATCCTTTTATATAATAAAGAAAAAATAGAGAGCAAAGGAGCATATTAATTCCTTTGGGTGAAAACAGGCCGTTTTAGAGGTAAGATATATAGAATAACTTGTGCTTTATCTCTAAACTATCTAGAAAAATTTATTGTGAAGCCAATAGTCTCCTAACCACTACTGATTTAATTTGGGATTAGTTTGATAAGTACATTATTTCTGGCTTGTATTTTGAAACATAGACTTCTGGATGCCACAGACCAGGGGTGGGGAACGTCCGACACGCGTGCATGCTCTATAAGGCCCGCAAAATCATTTGTTCTGGCCCCGCCAAGTCATTAGGGGTGAGTTAATTAAATGTTTGACCAAGTACAGCAGGATAATTTTTAAGTTGATAATTTTGTATGGCCCACAACTGATGTTATAAATATCCAAATGGCCCTTGGCAGAAAAAAAGTTCCACACCCCTGGCGTAGATTATTAAATTGATGTATCCCGATTTAGATTTGGTAAGTTGAAGAAATAATTATTCATAAAACATGTAAAGAAACATTCTGATATTCTGTACAACTGAATGAGAAAGACCCTTGAATATAATACTAGAGGCTAACTATTGACCATTGCTGATATTTTCATTACTTTTTTTTTCTTGATTCTCACCCAAGGATATGTTTTTACTAATTTTAGAGAGAAAGGAAGGGAGAGGGAGAAAAAGAAATATCAATGTGATAGAGAAACATCAACGGGTTGACTTCAAAATGCACCCTGACCAGGGATCAAACCCACAACCTGGGTATGTGCCCTGACCGGAAATCAACCTGCAACCTTTCAATGTATGGAATGATGCTCCAAACAACAGAGCCACACCAGCCAGGGCTAGTTGCATTACTTCTTTATCCTAGATCTTCTTCATAAGGTAATCAACAAAGATTGATTTCTAGAAGATAAGGCAAAGTTCTTGGGGGTTAGCATATCCTCCCACATAAGTTTTTGAAAAACACTTTGTGGGGGTTCAGAATGAGCCACCCCAATATGTGCCTCTGTGGTGTGCAGATTACTTTGAGCTAAAGGCAAACCTAGTCACAGGCTCAGGAGAAACTTCTGCTCCTCCCTTAACTACCTAGAAGGACTTGAATCAGGGGTCTCGCCCATAATAAGACACTATCAGAGATAACTTTACGTATCTGTAGAGCAGGGCAGACTTCTATTTACTAAATATCTGCTCTTAGCATCCTGCAATGACCCCTTGAAGCCCCCACGATGCATTCCCTCCCTAGCTCAGGGTGTCCTATATACTCAATCCCCCTTTCTATCTTTGAACCTCTTGTGCATGTGGGGTCTCTGACTCTCTCATGTAGGTGGGTTCCCATACATATGTATGTATTAAATTTGGTTATTTTCTCTAGCTAATCTATCTCATGTCTATTTGATTATTAGATGAGCCAGAAGAATCTGGAGGGTAGAGGGAAGTGTATTCCTCCCCCACAACTTGAAATAGTCAGATATATTCAGTAGTCATCAAGTCACCTTCTTGTTAACAACAATGATATATTGTAGTCTGTATTTTCAAAAACATTATAAAAAGATAGATATGAATAAGTTGGAACAATGATGACTTTCTAAAGATTTTGAAGGATAGTTGGGATTTTGCATTCCAAAGAACAAGTATTTGAATTCCAATGGACAAGGCAGAAGAGATTATATGCAAGAATTGAACTTGGGACTTCATCATGGAGGCAAAACTGAAGGAGGATATTTGTAAGCAGCCAGAACAGCCTCCAAGTTGGTGTGCTCAAGTGGAATCAGTAACAATGGGCCAGACAAAAAAATACTAGTCATGGTACCAATTTGATCACTTGCTGGACGTTACACTTTGGAAAAATCACTTCACACCTCTGATTTTTTATATCTGCATCTATAAGTGTGATTTAAAAAATACAACTTTCTCTTAGTTTTGGGGATTATGATAATTAATTGAATCTTTAGAAAAATATGAAATGCTCTAAAGTACTTTTTTTCAATGCACTCTGTTATAACTAAAACCCATTATAAAACATGGGATATATGTGAATTGCAAATAAACCAAATTTTCTGATAACCACTGCCCAAATTCCAGCTATAGTAATTTACACTCTTTTTTTTTTTAGAGGAGAATAAGCTTTATGCCTATTTGGACTGAAGGAAACTTTCCAGAATAGTTGCTTTCCCAAATTCAAGGACAGCCTCCTCACTTGCTTTAAGAATTGTTGGTCTTCTATTGTTGTTTTGTTCTTTGTGTTTTTCTTTGTGTGTGTTTTTTTTTGTGTGTGCTTTTTTTGTTTGTTTGTTTTGTCAAACACACAAATTCTAAAATACTGTCTTTTATTTTTAAAACCAAAGGCCAATATATGCATTGTATAACAATATCTTCATAAATGTGTATTAAAATATACTATATTAATCGATGTAGAGAAAGGGATGTACAATCTTTTATTATTGCCATTCCTACCAGGAGGGAAAAGCTCTAGATATGGATTGGTCGAGACTAGTTAGGTTAAGGTGCTGTGAAAATTTTGTAGAATTTAGAACATGGACTTGTCAATATTTCTGTTATTATGATCCTTGTGTGGACCTTCATAAACCATAATGATAATCGGGCATAGACTGGAGGGACAGAGCCCAGTTTTTAGGAATGCCTCATGCTTTCCTCTGAGGCTTTGCCCTGAACTCAAGCCAGTTCTCTCTGCCAGAGGGAACAGAGAGAAAATGTATTTCCTACCTGTGGATGTGCTTGTTACTTGGGATAGAATGGAGCTGCTATGCTTGAGCTATCTGGCTTAAAAAAGTCACCGAGGCTCCCAAGGATGTGAGCCTGTACCCACTGCTGTGACCCAGACTTAGGAGACCCATTTAGGTGAGCTCATCATTCTCAGCACAAGTTAAAACTTTAATTTTGGTTTTATCTCTCAGATTTTATCCATGACTTTCTAATTTCCAGTCTTCATTCTAGCCCAGTGGTTCTCAACCTTGGCTGCACATTAGAATCACCTGGGAATCTTTTTAAAATCCTGATTTCTGGGCCTCATCCTCCGGAAATTCTGTTTCTTTGTTACTAATGTTGTGGCCTCACCCCATAACAAAGAAACAGAATTTCCGGAGGATGAGGCCCAGAAACCAGGATTTAAAAAAGATTCCCAGATGATTCTAATGTGCAGCCAAGGTTGAGAACCACTGTTCTAGACCCTCCCCTCATTTTCTCATTGACTTGGTTACTAGAACGCAGACTTTCTTCATCCTCTCATACCAACCTCATCTGACCTAGCGGCTGGTCAGCTTTCACTCACCACTTCAGGTCAGGTGGCCCTGATGTAAGGCAGGCAGCTGGTTATGTAATAAAAAGAGTTGACTTTTTCTTAGCGTTAATCTAAGCAAGGGAATGTTTGGGCCAAACCAAATAAACTCTTAAGTACTAACTGCTATACCGTCATCACCAGATTTAAGATGAAATAAAGATATTTGATGTATTAGGGAGGGTTAGCAGGTTCATCTGTCCCCCAGACTTGATTAGGAGGTTTGAATTCTAAATCAGAGGATTCCTAAAATACTTTTCTTTCTCATGACCTTGTCTGTCTCATTGTAAGACATGTGTATTATTGATAGTATTTCTAATAATTTTCTTTTAAACTTTCTACTTATTTTCATTGTCAATGGATATTTTCTTTAACTGAATTACACTCGATGAATGCCAATAAATTCCCTTCTCATATTGGTGGATATGTAATCTATTGTTGCTTATTGTTTTAAAAACTAATTCTTCATTTTATATTTTTTCTCATGCACATATTTAATCATTTTGTTCATACTTTAGTTATCCTTTTAATGGGTTGGCAAAGAAATATAAACCTAGATATATGTATATATGCATGCAAGGTGAGGCAAAAGTGGTTTACAGTTGTTCATATGGAAAATAATTCAAAATTAATAAATAATAATACATGAATAAACTTTGTGCTTTGCATACTCACAACTGCAAATCTACTGCTGCCCAATCCTGTCTATTCAATTTTGCTCATTATTAAACCTTAGTCACCATGTACTGGAACGAGTTATCGCTAGTGGCTCCATTGAGGCTTGTAGAACTCAATTATACATGTAACCCGTGTTTTCTGTTTCTTCAGATAATCCGGAGTCTGCTCTACCTCTCTTCCTCTGTGTTGCCTCCAAATACCACACTTCGAGGAATAGTGACTGGACTTACCAAGTCCACGTATAAACCAAAGAAGTCTGTTCAAGTGGGAATCTGTCAACAGGTAAAGTTATACTCCGTTTTCTTGATTATGCCCACAAATAAAAGCCATAAGTTGTATAAAATATTATAGAATTGAGCAAGGGACAATAAATGAGGCCAATGAGTGTGTCTGATTTGGACCTTGACTATTAGTCATCTCAAGAGTTGTTAATAATGAACAGGTGACAAACTTGAAAGTATAATTTTTCAAGGGTTAATTGGTCTTGAGTTCACTTTGCAATGATTTAGTTAAGATATCATCAGATTTCAATTTATATGGAAGAAACAAAACAGGTAGGAGATAAGGAAGTGTTAAGAGGTATATAAATAGTGACTTGTAATTTGTAGTATGTGGTTACAATTAAAATTAAGGAAATATGCTATAAATAGAAAATAAAAGATCATATACTAAGATAAACTGCTAAATTGTGCAAAGAGGAAAAAAACAGCTCAATAATATAATGGTTTCACTTTTTTCTTTTTTTAAATATATTTTTATTGATTTCAGAGAGGAAACAAGAAGGAAAGAGATAGAAACATCAATGATGAGAGAGAATTATTGATTGGCTGCCTCCTGCCCACTCCTCACTGGGAATCCAGCTGGCAACCCAGGCATGTGCTCTGACCAGGAATCGAACCGTGACCTCCTGGTTCAGGCAATGAGTTCACTTTTTCTGTGAGCATAGATTTCTATATGTAAAATAGAAATCTCAACATCAACCTAGCTCATTAGTAAATGTTAACATTAATATTTATAACATAATTGAATATTAGTAAATTTCAGTATTATTCACTTGATATGGTTATCTAAAAATGTAGAATTAAAATTAGTTAGAAATGTTATTATGACTCTTGAAATGACTGAAAAGTAAATCATCCAGTTGTATTTTTAAGTGTTTACTATAGCAGATGTAATAAAAGCTATGAGTTTAAACTCATGAATTAATAATGAAAGATTTTTTTTTCCTTTATACAGCAGGAAAATTGCAGAATAAGGTCTTTAAATTTCATAATTATTTGTACGCTCTGATAATAAAATAAAGTAGATGCCCACATAAATACCCTTTGGTATTTCCTTAGTATTCTCCCATGTTTTAAAAAAAGATATTTTCAAGCAATAAGAAGTTTGACTACTTTAAAATATACTAACAAACTTCACTAATATGTAAATTCCTATTCTTCAGACAACTTTCAAAGGTCGATTGCTATTTCCAGCTCATTTAACCCACATGTACAACATCTCTTTTTTTCTTTCTTTCTTAAGTATTAATACTTTAAAAAATATGTTATTTCCAGTGCTCCTGTGCTATAAGCCGAAATTCAAATTAAATATATAGATAATTTTGGTTATTGCCAAGAAAGCAAAAATTATTACAAAAGCAGACTGTAAATATACTGAAGACATTCAAATCTTTCATGTCATCAGCATGTATCAATTAGTAGAACAGGGCAAATAAATGGTGATCAAATACTTAAAGTCCTAATCAGACTAATTACACAAGAAAAAAATATCAAAGGCATCCAAATCAGAGTGAAAGAAGTAAAATTGTCTCTGTTTACAGAAACCCAAAGATTTTGCCAAAAACTATTGGAACTAATCAGTGAATTCAGTAAAGTTGCATAATACAAACAAACATTGGTGTTAGGGAACAAAGTTGTTTGTAATTTAATATCAATTGTATGAAATTATGTGTGATCATTGTTTCCACAAGAGAGTGGGTTGTAAAGCAAACAGTTATGTTCCTCGGCATATCCAAAAAGACAGTACCTTTCTTTTAATAAACAATAAAGTACTATCCATTTGACTAAGAGAATATCATTGCTACAAAAAATATGTAAAATTTTTCATTAAAAATTTTTCTAAACCTATAAGATTAGAAATTGTATGGTTTTAATGACCTAAGTTAACTTTAATGCAATTCCAAGTTGGAATTGCATTCTTATAGGTTTAGAAAACAGATCTGTGCTAAAATATTTTTAAGTAACTTCAGTTATTTTTTTTCAATAAATGGTTATATAAAAACTCAAACATTTTGTATTAAAAAATATTCAGTTTTAAGTGATGCTAACTCCATTTTCTTTATACTTAGAAATCAGATTGAGATTGCTCTTATTTTTTTTGGTTGGTACTTCAGTACAGATCTGAAATCTTAACTTCTCTTCAAGTAATGTTTGCTTCCATAAACAAATTAAATGCTTTCAGGTCCTAGCACATAGCAGTCAAAGTTACATACCTCATTCCATTATTCAAGTTCCTTTTCTGAAAACTTTATGAGTACAAGGGTATTAAAAATATTCATGAAAGATGATATAGTTGTAGCTATAACTGGAAAATACTATTTATTTTAATGTCGATCAAGAGTGAAATATAAAAATGAAAATAGGGTTTAAATCTGTATTTCATTATTTGAATACAGGTTACCTGAATTTCAAAGAGAAGAGCAGAAATGCCACCACCTGCAGGTGGCCCACCACTACACCCGCCTCCTGATGGAGGATGGGGCTGGGTAGTGGTTGCAGCGTCTTTTATCTCCATCGGATTTTCATACGCATTCCCCAAAGCCATCACGGTGTTCTTCAAAGAAATTCAGCAAATATTCAGCACTAGCTACAGTGAAATAGCATGGATATCATCCATTATGCTGGCTGTAATGTATGCAGGAGGTAAGGTTCTTTTGAATAAACATAATTCTGGATTAAGAAAACAATTCGTCCACCCCACAGTGTTGTACATGTGGCATTTTGGTATAGTAAAACCCTGTTTTCATATGAGCCACTTAAAATCAACTAAACTGGTAACTGGAATGGAGTTTTTAATAATTTTAGTGATTCAATATCATAAACTATTCACATCATTCTGAGTCTTACTAGAATAGTTGTTTGAATGAGGATTTCTTTGTACAAACTAAGATTTACTAAATTATGGACCTTCTAAAGGTCCATTTAATTTGGAATAAAGTCTATAGACTACAGTGTTAGTATCATCTCTTACGATTGCTACAGATAGTAGAAATGTTTTCTCCTGAATGAGAAACTGTGAATGTTGTTGACAGTTGATAAGCCAAGGAAGTACTTCACCTTAAGCTGTGAAAATGGAGTGTTATTATGTACCTTTTGGGTCCATTCAGGTTTGCATGATTGAAATAATTCTTTATCTCTGTACTCATTAAATATGACACTTTAAAATTTAAATGGTTGCCTGACAATTATCTTGTTACATTTCATATTCAAATGAGGATTATTCATGAGGGATAATGAATAAATCAAAGTACCATGTCGTTTCTGAATGTTAAATATTATATATGTATATATAGAAATGAATTAGTGCATTTGTATGCCACCTATCTTCTTTAAATCAATTTCAACAGCAGAGCAGACTGTCTTATAGATTTTTTTAAGTCATTTATTGAAATATTTAGATTTGAGTTTTCATTTTTCAATGGCATATGTGACTTTAAGAGACAGGTATAAACTCAGAATACACTGCTTAAAGTACTCATACAAATCATCTAATGGAATTTGTTTATTTCCAAGTGAGGATAACATGGCTCATAATGATCAAACTATATCATTAGTAAAAATATCCAATATTTATTAGTATTAAATTTCAGCCAAGACCTCTCTAAATGTTTGCTGTGTGTCATATGACCTAATCTTCTTAATAATCTATAAAATAAGTATTAACTTCTCTCCATTCTGTAGCTGAGGACATAAAGAGAAAACAAAATGTATTTCCAAGGCAAACAGCTCATTAGTGGCAGATAGAAATTGAGACCCTAAACATTTCATCACTGTGCTGTTCTGCCTTTCTCATGTCTCCCTCTTTACCTAAACAAAATGACAGACCTAATTCAGGCCTTTGCCCACCAAAGTCTTTTGTTTAGTGACATAATAATTATTCTTTAGTATATTGTCTATTGTATACCAGGTAAAAATTTGATCCCCCAGTAATCCTCTGTGTGTTTGTGTGTGTGTCTGTATTTTCCACTTTTCTGTATGTTAGCAATTTTACATTAATTCAGTATATGTCTCCCTTACCAATTTGGTTATGTTAAATTGGTGCATTTCCCCCCAGTAACAATAGATATCTTTAAAATGCTATTTGGCTATGTCATTGAAAAATTCTGCTTCTAAAACACTTTCTGAGATCCTCCTTTGGAAATGGCTTGAAGGCTTATGACTGCTATTTCTGATGACTGTAGAAGTAGTAGATATTGTGCTTCAGGTTTTCTTTCTCTTTCCCAGGGGTCAGGGTTCTTTATAATGATTTGCTAGACCAACACACAAAGTCATCTTGTCCTGAGCTCCACAATGTGCTAATGTTAAGATATGTTGCCGCCCCCCCCCCCTTTTTTAATACAACGGAAACAGATTCCTTTAGTGAATTAACATTTCTATTGAATTTAGAATTCAGGTCCTTTATATTCATAATTTCATGTTGAGTAGATTGTTGATGAACTCATAAGCAAGAAAAAAATTATATAACTTTTTAATTAAGTCAAGTCTTAATTGACTTTATTAGTTTTAAGCAAACATCCTCAAAGTCCCAGCACCTTACGGCTATACTAGTTTATTTTGCTCAAGCAATGCATTATCAAGCAGTGTTTCATCCAGTGGCTATGCCATTGCGTAAGGCTTTGTAGTGTTCCTAAATCTGCTCCATCTGGACAGAGAATGAATGCCGACAGCATGGAAGATCAATGGGATATTTTAGGGGCCGGATCTGGAAGGAAAAAAAAAAAGTCATTTTTGCGCACATTCCACTGGTTAGAACTCTTACACCTCCCTACCTAGAGGCAGGGCTTGGGGTTGCTGGGCAATGCAGGCTTCCTGTAGCATCCAATGAGACTCAGACAGAGCTTGATATCCCAACGGTCATTCTCCATTCAGTGAAAGTAGGATGTGTTTATTTTTTCTTTAATATTTGAAAGGTCTCTATTTCTAGAGGCCTATTAGAATGATGATTATAAAATAAATGCAAAAACCGTAAGGTGAAAAGGCATATAATTTACTATAAAGCATGAATCTCTCTACCAAGTGACTAAAATATCCTATTCAACATAATGCTAATTGCATTAGCTTATCGAACATCTAAGATCTGACACACTCATTAGGGCTTAGCACTCAAGCTATTAATCACCACAGTGGGGTCACTGGGTAAGATGGAGTGTGGTCAGAGGCCTGGCCTATGATGTCAGGGCTGGAGTCTCTTGTAGTAATTAGTTGGCATCTGGGCTTTGGTAGCAAGGTATTATCTTCCCTTCTGATGTCCGTATTAAAAATGAAGCTAATAATATGTATGCAGGAAGGATGGGCAGGAATGCAAATTATGTTTATCCCTTACTTCATTCTTAGAGTAATGGCATTAAGTTACACAACCCATCTGCTTGTCCATATGGTCTCCTGAACTTCTAACGGATTTCAGCAATAGGTCAAACAGAGTGGTCACCCCATTAATAAAGCGCTAAGTAGAGGTAGAAAACATATTAAAATTCAAACTTTCCACATTGTTTTAAATGGAAATGAGGATTTATTTTGTAAACAGTGATTACACAGGATTACCTTTTAGTGCAATCTTTAGCTTTGTTACTCTATCAGAAGATAATGTGAAAGGGGTTAGCTACATAATTACTGAATACAGATTCGGAGCTGCCAGTATCTGTGAGGACCGCATGTTGTTTTTCTGGGGATGTATTTGTTATGACTTGGAAGACTCAGCCGTTTTGGAGATGGGGGGTTGGCCCTGTCTTCTTGGTAACTTACTCTTCTGTTTTATGTGAGTGGTGAGCACCAGTTGTGCTAAAGCAAGGGTGATGGTTTCATGATGCACTGCTCTACACAGGAGACCGAGTGTTAGACCAGTGGGCTTATTTTACTGGAGGCCAAGAAGCAAAAAGTTTTAGGCATAGGAGGTTGGTGACCATAATATACAATGTGTATTTTCCTATTCTTTTTAAAGTCTAAATAAATGTATTATATTATTTTGCTTTAGGCTTTAAATATTTTTCAGAATAAAGGAGACAAAGTAAGTCATATAGGGCTGTATCTTAGCTTCGATGATATGATAAAAAATTTTATTCCGTTCCTGTGTTTGAGGTACCAAAGGCTTTCATCTTAGCTTCACAAAAACTAGAGAGAACCGGGTACACATGGACAGTCCTGGGCAAGCAGGCTGGGTACTTCTTATGCCTAAGCCACAGTAGATTTTTTTTCATCCAGGAACACAGATATTGCTGAAGTTTTCTTAGGAAGTACAGTACAGTGTGGCAGGAACTGTTATACTCTCCATTCATCCAAGGCCTCTGTGTATTTTGCAGCTTCTTTACATGTAGGTTGAGGCCAAGAGACTGGTTCTGACCAATGAATTGTGAGTGGGGGGATATAGGCCCCCCACCTTGACACCTGGACAAGGCAGTTCCAGCTGGTGTACATCTTCGTTTTCCCTTGTCCCTACTGCAGCAGCTTAATTTCATATGACATGGCTACAAGGGGAAGGTCCTGGGTCCACTTATACTTTGAATGAGTAAGAAAAATTTTGTATTATGCTTCTGCGGTGTACTATGCAAAACAACCTAGGTTATACTGATCAATACAAACACGAAGGGTTAGATTGTTGTGTAGCTACAATATACTAGTAAATTATGTAAATCATGAGGGGGGACAAGTACAGACTATGGGATGACCTTACTCGTTTAACTTATGTCATGAGAAGGTTTGTAGGTGTGCGACTTCTTCAAAACTCTGTTAAAGAAGAGGAAGCCTTCAGTATCTCAAGAAGTGAAAAAGGAATTATAAGTGGAAATCATTATTGCCAGTTTTCTTGGGAATAAAAGTGAGAGGCAAGTAAGGCACAGAAATAGGGACCAAATCATGCCCATGCAGCTTTCTACCATTAAAGGTCTCTTTGTCTCTCTCTCTCAGACAGGAACATGAGAGGAGGTAGGGATCAAGATTGCAAGAATGCTCAGCCCTGCGAATCTTTTCCAGGAGATACTTTCCCTACGGAGGGCTGATAATCCAGTTCAAATAATATTGAGATATTAGTAAATGTTATTATTTTCAGCAGAAAAAAAACAATTTAAGAAACTTTATTGAAATATTTTTATGTTTTAGAGTGAGAACATTTCACTTACTAACTTATAAAAAAAAGCTACTTGCTCTAAACTAAGTTATTATATCATTACCTATGTTATGCACTTGTGTTTTAGTTGCAAACAACTGAAACCTGATTCAAAGCCCCTAAGGTCTAATGAGAAATGTTCCTGCAAACACATCAAAGGAGCAGCATAGGTACCAGCATCTTCCAAGTCAACCCGCACCAGTGATTTCTGTCTATCACATGGCTCTCTCCCCTCTGCTTTCTCCAGGGAGGGTGACCTTGTTTATGTCAGAAATTATAATGTCAGGATTTTAATGTACATAAAGTACCGAGGTTCATATTTAGGAATTTTTAGTGTTTGATTCCTGATAGTTGTTCCTGTTGGCTGTTGTTGATCTTGATATTAACCACTATAGAATAAAACCAAAGATTGGGTACAAGGAAGATAGTTAGTCAGACTAGGGCAACCTGTACCAATAAAGTTTGGAAATACAGGATAAAGTAAGAGATAAATAGGTCAATAATTAGTTCTAAAAGATATTCCAGGGCTTTTACTCATATTTGC